TCCAATTGCTTTGTCAGAAGATTCAGTAGTCACATGGAGTTACTAATTTCTTCACTCCCATCTTTTTCTTTGCTTGCTCTAGTTTTAGATATTAGATTGAAGATGTCATTTCAAGAACTATTACTTTCAAGGTTCTGTACTGGGGAAGGGTAGAGGAGACAAAGACTTTCATCTCTCAGTTATAAGAGAAAGAGCAGAAAGGGTTAAAAAGAGGTTTTCATTTCTACCACATGCCCTATTGTGTGAACATATGCATAAGTCTATTGAAAGTTTTCAGAAGATGGGCAGGCCACCAGTTGCTGGTCTCCTGCAGTTCTAGTAGACATCTGTTGCCCAAGAGCATTAACCAATCTGTTCAAAGGGACATCCTTCCTTTGTTAGCCAGAGGGATGCAGACAAACAGCACTCACTGAAATACAATGGTAATTAAATACACAGAGACTACAGCAGTAGGTATTTATTACATATTCATTATTTTATTTTCATTGTTCTCTTAGTATTACCATTTGGATAACAACCAGAACCTACTTCATGGCATTGTAACTTTACATTGCAAACAAATAAATTGATTTAACAAGTTTATGGTTTAATATTCCTGATTAATATATTTAGTATATAAAACAAATTTTCATTTGATTTGAGAAGGATTATCCAAGTCATCTAATGAGAACTTTCAGAAAAATCTCACTAAATGGGCAATTTGTGTGTAGGCAACATATTTCTAGGAAATAGCCATTATGTCATTGACCTGCTAAGATGAAGTTTCTTTTGGGCCATTAAATATTAGTTATACTTCATCATCATCTATAAAATTATGTAAATTTAGTTATTTTTCAACAGATAGTAGTATCTGATTTTTAACTAGGCTTTTAGCAAGAAAATTTATTTTTATTTCCAAAACAATATCTGGAGGAAATCAATAGCTTTATAAGTGTAGAAATCTGTTTTCAGACAATTAGATTTTTGCCCAATATTTCTTGTGTTCATGAATATAGAATGTAAAGACCAGTTATAATATATTCCTGATATAAAGTTTAAAAATTAAGCTATATTTCTTGGAGTTTTTCAAGAACTATCAGAGTGTAAACTCTGACCTGCTTTGTATGTGCAACTTTGTCTATGCTGTTTCTTCGTGAACTGAGGAAAATACCCTTATTAGTTAATCATGGATTAAAGATGATTTATATATGCTTACATCTGAGCAAATACAAAACTTAAAAGTCTAATAATGGTTTAGAAATTAAGGAGAAAAGTATTTTCTACCATACATGTAATAAATTGTGTGATATTAGAGTCTTTGCTATCTTTTTTTTCAAAATTAATTTATCATTTTTAAGGCATTGAACAAAAAGTCACATACAATTATTTATCCTTAGATTTCTTTTAATTACTTGTAAGTTTTACACATTACAATACATTGACAAGTACTGTAGCATATGAAAATATTTTTATCAGTTTTTAAATCTTAGCATTACATTTTTTATTGAATGATTTCAAGATATTGCTAAATTCTTTTTATTTTATTTTTTTAAGTGCTATATTAAGTTAGGGCAATCTTTTACTAATTACAAGTGGAAGCATTTTAGAGGTTAAAAAAAAACACCAAATCTTTACCATTAGGGCCAATACAAATCGGTTATTTCAGATTTGTATTATTAGTGGAGAAAAGGTAGGCAGTTTATAGGCCTGGCAAGTGAACTCAGTTGACCTTGTTTGTACCCTTTCATATTTAGTCTGTTGATTTATAAGTACTAAAAATTATTTAACTGCTTGTTTAGGACAAGATGACATTAAATAACTTTCTCGGAGGTAACAATGAAATAAATCTAGCAGATGAAGAGAGGCCTGTGTGTAACAAACAGTTAAACCAAAATCTTTTAAAAGAAAAATTATTTTGCAACAAAATTAGTTGTTAATTTTTTTTAAAATAGGTTACATCAAGTTTACATTTATCCTTGGTATTAAAAATTATGTTAGTCCAGTTATTTCAAACTTTTGGTTTACACAGTATATATAAATTACATGAATTACCACAAGTTAAAGGTATGTGGTATTCCCCAAATAGTCATATACAAATTAGTTTTATCTAGTTTATTATAAAAATCAACAACTGATAATCCAATTTTCTCTCTATTGTATCATAGCCATATAATAAAATTATATAGCAGATTGACATAGTGGCATCAGTACTTTTTAAATAGTAGACTGAAGATAATATAAAAAGATTTAAATACTTTATAGGGTGGCTAATTTTAAGTTTAAAGACTTTACAGTATCTGGTTTTGTTTCATTGTAAAATGTAAAAATTAAAAATAATTTATGCTGTAAACATAATATTTCATTCTGATTTTCCCCACTGGCTATATTTTTCATAAAGTATTTATCTTGTTTCAAACAGTCCATAAGAAAAACACTACTGCTCAAAATTAAAATAATATTTCCTAGTTCAATTTAGGAATTTGGTCGGTGAATTATTATCTTGAAGAATTATCTCACAGCAGCACTTATGCAAAACCCAAACTTTTCAGAGGAGATAAAAAATGTTGCCCATTAACTACACTTCCTGCAGTCAGAGCAGATTGCGGGGTTTACAGAACAATGATGTCGGAGCTTCCAGATTGGTTTGGCAGCTGCATTGTTCTCAGAGGGTAAACCAGACGCACTTAAGTCCCAGTCTCTTTTATAGGCTTTTGTTCATACCAAATTATTCTTTCACTGTGCTAGCATTCATGATGGCATGTTAAAAGAGTGCAGCTTAGCAACCAGCTTCTGGTTGCCAGGCAGCCCAGCTTCCAATAGGTTTTCCTTGTTTAAAATACTTTTGGTAGAAGCTCTGCGAAGGCCACAGTGCAGATTTTTCTTTTAACTGTATCCCTTTATTAGGATGCTGTTGGATTTGTTACTTGCATTATGGTGTCAGTATATTACAGTAGTTAATAAATCAGTGAGTGTAAAGATTTGCTTTCAAAATTCCTTCCTTTAATTCTAAATAATTGGGCTCATGCATAGCCCTATTAATAGAAAAAATTGAAATGGATACATCTTCATAATGGAGCAAATGTATATGGAACTCTCCTAAGGAGTAGTTCTTTTTATCAGTTGTACAATCAGGAGTCAGGAGCATTTGGTGTTTTTTTAAAAACTAATGAATGCTACATTAGAAATACAGTGATATTAAAGTTATCTGTCTTCTCGAGGGATCAAATCTGAAGGAACTCCAGTAGAAGTGTGTAGGAGTTCTACACTGAAGGAATTTTAAGCATATTGTATCAAGTTAAAGATTTCCATGTTCTCTTCTCTAGTATTTACCTTAATTAATATCATTTATTTCATTATGTAGCAGTATTTCACTCTCTAATAAGTTCACTGAGTATGCATTCAGATGTGTGACTTAGAAAATCACTTAGCATTTTCTTTTAACATTTATATAATAGCTCCTTTCTAGTGTAAATAAGATGTTGAAGAGCTTTGGAATGAAATGTTTTTCCAATATCCTTTTTTAGGTTATGTAAATAGGTGTTTTATGACAGTCTTAAATTCAGCTGCCATTGGCTTACTATATCCATGGATATAACACTGGAACTGCCTTAATAAGTAAACTACTGATGTAAATATAATCCTTACAATGAAGCACGAGATAAAATAATTTTATTTTGCTAACCTGTTCCTGGTAGAAGAAATAACAATCATTCTCAATAGACTTAAGGAAATAATAAAAGCAGCAGAAGCATTTTAAACAGTAAAAGCATTGTAATAGGGGGAAAGTAGGAGAAAATACGACTTTTTAATCAAATGCAGATAATGGTTAATTATCTGATATGATATAGAAATATTTTCTGCCACAAAATTCAAGAAATTAAGATAACATTGCCCTGGCTAGTGTTGTTCAGTGGTTAGAACTTTGGCCCGCACACTGAAGAGTCTCAAGTTTGATTCAATTCCCAGTCAAGGGTACATACCTGGGTTGCAGGTTTGATGTCCAGACCAAGGGGGGGGGGGGGGCAAACGATGGGTGTGTGTCTCTCACATTGATGTTTCTCTTCCTCTCTCTCTTTCCTTCCCTCCCACTCGCTCTTAAAAAAAAAAAAAATCAATGGAAAAAAATATCCTCATGTGAGGATTAATAACAACAACAAATAAGATAACATTATTTATTTAATGTACATAATTATTTTCTAATTTTATGTGAGATATTGTATGTCTCTGCTTTCTATAAATGTGCATAGAATAAAAGAGCTTTCCCCACTCCCTGGAATGAAATAAACTCTAGTGTCCCTGGAGTTTAATAAGGGTAGCATAACATTAAAAGTTGTGTTCTGTTACTGTGTTTGATATTCACAAAATAAAGATGATTAGTGCCAAACTATTCATCTTTTAAATGGAATGTAATTGACTTTGTAATTATTTAATTCCTCATTTGCTGTTGCTGAATATGTGTTCTTTCAGCTCAGTACTGGAATTATTTTTGAAATACCTTTAGATTGTCGTTAAAATTATTAATTTTATAATTAATGATACTTTTACAGTTATAAGTTAATGTTTTCCTTTCTTTCTACATGGCTTTCTCTTTAAGACAATTTTTAAAAATTTTTATGAAGTCTTTTTTAGACATATTTGAAACATGCTACTGAGAGTATTCTGTTTGTAGAAACATAGGTAGGCCCATTCTAATGTGGGAAAATCTCTTCCATTAAGGTTAGAAGCAGCATGTTATAGAGGGGAAAATAGGAATTTGGGAGTCAAATAAAAATTGGTAAAAAAAAAATCTAGTTCACTGCTTATTTACTTTGTTGCCTTGGGGAGGTCACATGGCCTTTCTAATTTCTAACTTCATGTGCAAAACAGTGCATGATACTATCTTGGCAAGGGTGTTGAAGGATGAGAGGATGTAGGCATAATATAAAGGAAGTATCTATAGTATAGTAATTGTCTTTCAAGTTGTCTGTTGAGACAAATGAAACAATAAATATGAAATTCTAAATATTTTACATTTTCTTTAGGAATACGGGGTACTTTGCATTCAGGAATACAGAAAAAACAGCAAAGTGGAGCCAAGTACACGGAACAGCTTCATGGGCTTGAAGGACCATCTGGGGCATGACCTGGGCCACCTTCATGTGGAGAGCACTGACCCACATTTAAGCACATCTGTACCTTGGTCAGTAGTAGAAAAACCAACAATGGATAAAGTTAATTCGGGGAAGGAAGAAAAAGAGGTGTCTGAAGAGAATGCGAGCTCTGGTGACTCTGAAGAAAGCACAAATTCTGATCATGAGTCAGAACAACGGAGTAGCATATCAGTAGAGCCATGCTTACTAACCAAGACGCACAGGCAACTTTGTAGGTCTCCCTGTTTAGAGCCTCACATACTCAAACGCAGTGAAATCTTACAAGACTTTAAACCTGAAGAGTCCCAGACTATGTCCAAGGAAGTGAAGAAACCCCCTGATGTGATGCGAGAATACCAAACAAAACTGGAGTTTGCACTTAAGTTAGGTTATTCTGAAGAACAAGTTCAGCTTGTGCTAAACAAACTAGGTACTGACGCTTTAATCAATGATATTTTGGGAGAACTTGTCAAACTTGGAAATAAAAGTGAGGCTGAGCAAACAGTTAGTACAATTAACAGTATAACACGGGAAACGTCTTCCCTGGAATCTCAGCGGTCTGATTCTCCAATGCAGGAGATTGTAACAGATGATGGAGAAAATCTGAGACCAATAGTTATTGATGGCAGCAATGTGGCAATGAGGTGAGTGGGAAAATCTTCAGTGATTATTATCAAACAACCTTTTAAAGGTATTTCTAACTTTGTGACTTTTTAACAGTCATTAATGTCAAGATTACTCTGCATCCTAACATTACCTTACATATTTCTAATTGTATCTCTTTTAGTGTTCTGTTCCTCTACTTCTAGAATGGTCAGCCATTTTTGCCCCTTTCCCCAGATACGTTCTTTTTTCTCAGAAGGCTCTATTACTATGCTATAAAAATTAGCGTTTGTTCCTGGTTTAGTGTTAACCACTAGTTTTAAATGAAGAATTTTAGTATGATAATATTCAACAATTTTGGAATCTAGTCAGATAAATAGCCTATTTCTACATGAAGTCAAATGACCATGGAAGTAAAAGTGCTTGGTTAACTAAAAATTTACCCAACATTAGTCTAAACATTGCTCATCCCACACAGTGAGACTTATCCACAGAAAACCTTTAATATAATAAAAGATAGTATAATTAAAGCATTTTGTATCTCTTCTTATATAATTATGAAAACAAACTGCCACCCCCACACTGTTCTGGCATGGTGCTGTTGCCTTGCTGTAAGATGGGACAGCCCTGGCCAGTTTGGCTCAGCGGTTAGAGCGTCAGCCTGCGGTCCACAGAGACCCGGGTTCGGTTCCCGCTAAGGGCACGTACCTCGGTTGCAGTTTGTCCCCGGCTCTGGTTGGGTCGTGTGGGTGGTGGCCACTCGATGTGTCCCTTTCACATCTATGTTTCTCTCTCTTCCTCTCTCCTTCCCGCTCTATCTGAATAAAAAAATGGAAAAATGTCCTCAGGTGAGGATAAAAAAAAAAAGATGGGACAGTGCGAGTTCAGGTCTTCTCTCCAGTCATGTGCTTCAATCTGACACAATGGAAATGCATCAAGCATCTTAGGACCAAGCAAGTTGACAGGAAATTTTTATTATAGCTGTGTTATACTGACAGTCACAATAAAATGTACCACGTCCATAACTTTTAAAGTACCAGAACTCATAAAATGTCATAGTAAACTTTTTATATATTCTACCATTTATAAGATCTACATAAAGTAGCAACATCATTTAAAAATGCATATCTGCTTCAGATCCAAAATCTTAATTTAACAAAAATGCAGAGATTTCACCCATTTCATGTTGCATAAACTATGATATGCTTTTCCCTTTTTTTCTTTATTGGTTTTAGAGAGGGAGAAAGGGAGAGGGAGAGAGAGAGAGATAGAAACATCAATGAGAGAAAACAACATCAAGTGGCCGCCTCCTGCATGCCCCCCAATGGGGATTTGGCCCATAATATAGACATGTGCCCTGACCAGGAATTGAACCAGGACCTCCCAGTCCATGGGTCAACACTCAGTCCACTGAGCCACACTAGCTGGCTAAGACAAATATATTTTAATTTCATTTAAATGCTAGCCTTGGAACTGATAATAATGATTCTTTAGATGTAAATTAGAAGTAGGAAAGCAAAGGCATTTTTATTATATTAGCAAAATAGACTTTTAAAAATTTTTAATTCTCTACAGAATTCTAAGTTGTTTAAACTCTCCAGCCTAAGTTTTCAAAATTATTAAAAGGGGAAATTTTTATCTTGCAAGTTTGTTGTTAGAATTAGAGATAATTAATACCAGGTACCTGGCATGTTGTTATTACAGCTATTACATTAAAGAGCCAGAATATAGTAACCAAGGTAATAAAAACTTAATTATCTCAGTTTTTTATTCAATATTAACTTACAGCAGTCTAGCAGTCCATTTTATTAGAATCTGTATGTGTATTTTAATTTTCACTTAAATTTATCTCATCGGTGGTTTTCAATGATGATTTCTACAGTTTCACAAAGGAGACTTCGGTTCTAAGATTTAGGTGACTCCAGAATTGCCCAGGGATGAGCCACATAGCCAGAGTGTATAGCATAGGGTCCCAAAATTGCAGGGATCCCATGTTGCCTTGGGGGAGCATACATCTACTTTCAGCTTATTTCAGATCCTTTGTAAAATATGCCACCTTAACCGGGCTGGTGTGGCTCAGTGGTTGAGCATCAACCCATGCATCAAAAGGCCGCAGGTTCAATTCTCTGTCAGGGCACATGCCCAGGTTGTGGGCCTGATCCCCAGTGGGGGTCATGTAGGAGGCAGACAGTCAGTGTTCTCTCTCATCAATGTTTCTATCTCTCTCCCTCTCCCTTCCTCTCTCTCTGACAACAATAAAAGAAAAAAAAAAAATATGCCACCTTAATAGAAGCTCTGGGTAAGTCTGTTGTAGAGCAATTCACCAAAAATGAAACAGATACCTAGAACTTAGTCAAGCATAATTTGTGTCAGGTATTTCACTGTAAGGTGTGGGAACAAAGAGGACATAGTATGCAAAAAAAGAAAAGAAGGTAAAGTAAATTTAGAGAAAGCCCTAAACGTTTGCATATAAAATGTTAAGCATTCAAAAAGTGCTTGGTTTCTGAAACTTGAAAAGAATGAAATTTACATTTAGTGATGCTGGACTGCCAAATCCTGACAGAAAATACAGTTAATTTTAATTCCTAAAAAAAGAAAAAAAAATCTCAGTAATTCAACAAATTGGTCATTTAGCAAATAGGCCTCTTTCCTTAATAGGGCAGGTACTTGATAATATAGATGTACCAGGAAATGTATATTCCATATATAGACAGAGAAATAAAGCATAATTAATATTGATCATATTACTGAAATGAAATTTTTATATTATGATTTCTATTTCCTCTAAATAGCTTTATAAGCCTTCAGATCTGTGATTTTGTTAAACTTGAGGCAGTGCAGCACTGGAGGATAGAATTTGTCTCTCTCCACATGTATCTAATAACTTAAGTTCATATTTTTCCTTAAAAAAATCTAGCGCTCTTTTAAAAATATGTGGTTTTAGGATCAGATGACTTGTCATATCATTAGCAAAGTAGTCTTGTGAGCCATCAGGGATGAGAGTATGATCAGTTGGATGTTAGAGCCTTTGATCCCTAAAAGTCCTTGATTTCCTCAATATGTTTTCATGACCTAGTCACCTGACTTTATAAAATTAGCTATATGTATATATTCTACTTTAGCTTCTTCCAAATATTATATAAGAATGGTGAACAAGGAAAAACCCAGAGCCTCATCACTGCCTCTACATTATGCTGCAGCACAAATTCATCTGTTGAGTGGAATGAAGCTAGAAACTTTTCTCTTTTTGAAATGAACAAACCACCCAGGCTGGTTTGGCTCAGCGGTTAGAGTATCGACCTGTGGTCCAGCGAGATCCGGGTTCAGTTCCCGCTAAGGGCACTCGCATCAGTTGCAGTTTGCCCCTGGCCCTGGTTGGGTCGTGTGGGTGGCAGCCACTCGATGTGTCCCTTTCATGTCAGCATTTCTCTCTCTCACTTCCTCTCTCTCCCTCCCTCCCGCTCTGTCTGAACAAAAAATGGAAAAATGTCCTCAGGCTGAGGATAAAAAAAAAAGAAATGAACAAACCATTGAAACTCCACCCATCATATATGCCCTCTTGGTCCATGAACCCAAGTTTCTGGGTTTAGATCAATCTCCTGACTGGGAGGTAAGTAAGCCTTATTATTGGTGCATGTTTGTGCAGAGTATTAGGACAAATGTTGCCTTTGCTAATAATCTCAGGTGGACCACTTTTATTTACTTATTTTAAAATTTTTTCTTTATTGATTTTAGAGAGAGAGGAAGGGAGAAGGAGAGATAGACACATCAATGAGAGAGAACATCAATTGGCCGCCTCCTGCATGCCCCCCTCTAGGGATGTGGCTCACAACCTGGGCATGTGCCCTGACTGGGAATCAAACTGATGACCCCTTGGTGCATGGGTCGATGCTCAACCACTGAGCCACACTGGCTGGGCTTGGGTAGACCACTTTTAGCCAATAGGATTCACGCTCTCCTCACCACTCTCTCTCAGTAACAGGAAACCACTCAAAGAATTTAAGCAAGGAAGAAGTGGCATATCATTTGCCTTTAAGAAAGATCACTCTACAGAGAAATTTAGGGAAGGATTTGAACACTGAGACTGGAGACAAGGAGACCCACTTATATTTAAACATACATGCAAAGGTTAAATTGATGACAGTTTCTGGAAAAAAGATGAACTGAGAATATCATTGCTTTTGTACAACAATCAAAAGGTATAGAATAGAGAAATATAGCAACTATTTGCTTGACAACTTATACCCCACACCCCAAAAAGAAATATGTTAGAAACCAGCTACTGCTAGTACAAACCTGAGTATTAACTGAATGTAGAAAAGCAGTCTAGATCAATGTGTAAAGTCATTTTCTTAAAGATGAACATAAACCAGGTGTAAATTTTAGAATAAGAATATGAACAGAGCCCTGGCCAGTTTGGCTAAGTGGTTAGAGCGTCGGCCCACGGACCAGAGAGTCCTGAGTTCAGTTACCGTTAAGGGCACAAACCTTGGTTGCAATTTGTACCCAGCCCCGGTTGGGGTTGTGTAGGAGGCAGCCAGCCACTCGATGTGTCTCTCTCACGTCAATGTTTCTCTCTCTTCCTCCCTCTCTCCCTCCCACTCTATCTGAAGTTAAATGCAAAAAAAATATATCCTTAGATGAGGATAACAAATAAAAATAAAAAGAATGTGAACAGAGAAAATGGTTTTAGTTGTGATATCGTACCTTTCTATCAAAAACCATGTATTTATAAAATACAAGCAAAGTTTAGCAGTCTGTATCAATGAAATTTAAGCTTCTGGTGAATCTTTTTAGAAGCACAGAGCCTTTCATGTATCTCATCTGGTTTGTGAACTCTTAAGAAATTAAGAACTCTTTTCGATGTCAACTGAATGTTGAAGGCCATTTTGCCTAGGCCCTAAAATTTGCCTCCGGTTGTTTGGTGGTTTTGCTGCCCTGTTGCCAGTTTGCCACTGAAGTGCAGCACTGACTTACAGTTAATAAAATCCTCCTGGACACCTAGTCTGTGTGTTTGGTTTAGACTATAGGAGAGAATACC